GCTCATGAGCACAGGGGTGAGGCATGTTCCTGGAGGTTATTTCATTGAAAGGCCACATTTGTGCTGTGAAGCTGGTAGGATTATCATCCCAGTTTTTACGATTATAAAATTGAAGTTCAGAATAGTGAAGACAGTGGCTTAAGATCACACATCCAAGGAGGCAGAACTTGAATTCCAAATCAGAGTTCTCTCCAAAACCCAGGTCTCATCCAGTAACACATCTATGACATTTTATTAAGAAACACAAATCGCGGGTGGGCATTTGGTGCAGTGGTTAAGCCACTGTATGTATGGGACATGGCATCACATTCTGAATGCTGGGCTCAAGTCCCAGCTGCTCGGCTCCCCATCCAGCTTCGTGCCCATGCGCACTCAGCGGGTGATAGCTCACATACCTGAGCCCCTGCCACTCGTGGGGAGACTTGGCTTGAGTCCCAGGCTCCTCCTTGGGTTCTGGCTGTTGCAGGCATTTAGGAGAGTAAACCAGCAGATGGAAGGTCAGGTTCTTTTTCAAATAATATGCATATAAATATTTTAAGAAAAGTAAGCAGAATTTGAATACAGATCTCTTTTGCTTCATAGAATATATCTCAAAATTGTCCTTTTAACATAGTTGAAGTTGGCATTGTGGTACAGCAGGTTAAATCACTGCTTATGACACTGCTAACTCATTTTGGAATGCTGGTTTCAGTCCAGGCAGCTCTGCTTCCATTCTAGCTTCCTACTTATGTGCCTGGGAAGACAATGGAAGGTGGGCCAAGTGCCACTGCCATGCATATGGGAGACTCATGGAGTTCCTGGCTCCTGGCAATGGCCTGCCTCAGCACTGGCTGTTGTGGCCATTTTGGGGGTGAATTGATAGATAAAAGATCTGTCTCTTCTCTCTGTTGTTCCACTTTTCAAATAAAAAAAAACTTCAAAAATAAAATTATAGCTGTTATGCTGTCATAATACTTATCTCAATAATATTTTTCTCAAAAGGTTAAAACAATTTAGGATTTAATGTGGAAGATTAAGTGATATCCTGAAATAATATCTGAAAAGGCAGACATCTTAGTATAATGTTAGCACTTTATAATATATATGTACTACGTATGTAACTTACAATGACCCTGGGACTCAGGCTGGAGTCCTATTATCTTTATTTCATAGAAAACCTAAAGCAGAGGAATGGCAAATTCCTTGCCAGGACTTCATGTGCATATGTGACCAAAGAGTCAGGGCCCGGGGAGGATTAATCCTCTGGAGCCAACCTGGCATCTTCTCCAGCCCGAGCTTCCTTCAGCAGCAGGCTAAACCCAGGCAGAGTTCCCAGCCATGAGCCGTGCACTTGCAGAGGCCCACAGTCGGCATGTGCTCTTCCTGGCAAATTACTTCCTAGGCTACGGTACAACCCACTTCCAAAATAAACGACCTCATCACACTATGAGCGACCTGCCGTGCTATCAGTGAGGTCTAGTTATAGAAATCTCAGTAGTAATCATTATCTATGTACCTGCCTGCTTGTGTATCTATTCAACCCCATCCCACCACCTCCTGTGTCTGCTCATTTCAGGAGCCCAGCAATGACACCCAGCAGCACTGAACACATCAGGCCCTGGATCTTGCTTCTTCAATGTTATTTTTGTTCAAAGATTGATTTACTTTTTTATTGGAAAGGCATATCAGATTTGCAGAGAGAAGGAGAGATAGATCCTCCATCTGCTGGTTCACTCCCCAAATGCTCACAACAGCTGGAGCTGAGCTGATCTGAAGTCAGGAGCCCAGAGTCTCTTCAGATCTCCCACACAGGTGCAGGGTCCCAAGACCTTGGGCTGTCCTCTACTGCTTCCCCATGCCACAGGCAGGTAGCTGGGTGAGAAATGGAGCAGCCAGGACACAAACTGGAGCCCACAAGGGATTTTGGCACTTGCAAGGTGAGAAGGTAGCCACTGAGCCTTTGCGCTGGGCCCTCAATGTATCTCTTAAAGAAACCAGGGCTTCCTGGGAAAACCGATTATTCCAGAACTTTGACAAGAAAAGTTCAAGGTGAGCCTGAGAATTTCTCCTGCCAGAGAATAAAGTAATCGAAGACTAAAAAGGCTATATCAAAAGAACACAGGAGCCGACAAGATTCCTGCTAGTTGTATGTGGGATAATCTGAGCATCCAAAACAATGGTGATGATGAATTACTGCAAACTTAAAAGAAAATGTTTAACGAAAAAGAAAAGTGGCAGAGGAGAGAAGGAATAAGAAACAAAGAGAGGGAAAATGCTGTTTTGTAAACAAGATCCCAGCTAATAAATACAGAAGTAATGGCAAAATTAGGAAATTACCATTGTGCAACTCTGTGTTGCAATTCAGGCAAAGGTCGTGAAGGGATGTAATGTGAAAGGTTCTTAGGAATGTACAACAGCCATGACAAATCATGCTGCAGATTAGGGGAAATGTTATCCTTACCATGGAGACAGCTGGCCAGGACCTTAACCAATAATCAGATGTACTATTCATGGACAGTAGGATGCTGATGTCACATGCCCCTGCTGTGATGCAAGAAGGAGCACACAGGACCGAGCAGGCACACATAACCGGGAATGCATCACTGATGGTTAGTCAGTAACAGGTGGAAGTGTTCTATTTAGGTTAAATTGGTAGTCTGAAGAGACATAATCAATCAAAGCTATGTGAATGTTGACTGGATCTAATTTTACTGTTAAGAATATTTTTTTTTATTTGAAAGGCAGATATTACAGAGAGAGAAGAAGACAAAGAGAAAGGTCCTATATCTGTTGGCTCATTTCTCAAATGGTCGCAGTAGCTGGAGATGAACTGATCCAAAGCCAGAGCTAAGAGCTTCTTTCCGGGTCTCCTTCTGGATGCAGGGTCCCAAGGCTTTGGGCCATCCTCTACTACTTTCCCAGGTCATAAGCAGGAACCTAGATGGGAAGTGGAGCAGCCAGTAATGACCCAGTGCCTATATGTATGCTGGTATTGCATGTGGAGGATTAGCTTGATACACCACCATGCTGGCCCCTTACTCTCCATTTATTTTAAAAAAAATACATACATATATAATTATATATATTATATAAAATTATATATATTATATAAATCATATATTTATTTAATATACAGTATATTTATTTATATATTTATAATATATAATTATTTATATAATATATAATATATTTATTTAATATATATAATTATTTATTTGAAAGTCAGAGAAATTTCTTCCTGTTCAGTCAGATCAGAATTTCCTCTCAGCCCACCCAGATGGATGGTCACCTGCCGAAAGGAAGAGTATTGCATTCTAGATTGAAAAGACCATCTATTTCAAAATACTTTCCTGGGCCCGGTGCAATGGCCTAGGGACTAAATCCTTGCCGGCATGTGCTGGGATCCCATGTGGGAGCTTGATCATGTCCTGGCTGCTCCATTTCCCATCGAGCCCCCTCAACAGTCCAGAGCCTTGGGACCCTGCACCCATGTGGGAGACCTGAAAGAAGCTCCTGGCTCCTGGCTTCAGAGTGGCTTGACTCCGGCCATTGCGGCCACTTGGGGAGTGGACCAGAGGATGGAGGATCTTTTTCTCTGTCTCTCCTTCTCTCTGTAGATCTGCTTTACAAGGAAAATAACTATATCTTTACAAGAAAATACTCTTTGAGTTTTCCATCTGGAATCGAAGGGGGGCACAGCCAGGGGACCACATATTACTGCAAGGAGAACTAAGCACCTGTGTGGGGGAAAGGACACAGCCTGGTGGGGTGCACCTTAAGATAGCACAGCTCGCAGCGCCTAACAGGGCCTCCTAACACACTGGAGACTTCCCTACCTCACCGTGCCAGCCCACCAGGGTGAAGTCTCTTTGGCTCACAACCCTGGGGGTCCCTGTGGGGACACAGCCCTTTTCAGGCCTCTCCATACCCCACAGCTCTATCTCCAGCCCCATCTGGCCCAGGTCCTATGTTTAAGAAGCCTAGGAGTACACCACTATCCCCACAAACCACAGGGCAGGAGAGAAAAGTGCCTCCTAGATGTGTGGACTGTACAGCCAGCTGTGGGAAGACAGGCTGGAGGAAGTATGCCACCTGATCTGATACAGACCCCCATCAACCTCCACCCTCATCCTCTTCTAGAATATTCCTTCACTTCCTAACCTCCGTGATGACTCATCTTGTGGTTCTCTTCAGGTATACATAGCCCATTTCAACCACTTTCTTCCTACAGCTTTCCGGCAGACAGTTACCATTCAGAAACAAAGGGCTTTCAACTCCACCTCCTCCCTCCATCCTCACAGGCCGGCTTGAGGCAACTGTGAGGGGCAGGACTTCAAAACTTGAGTTTCTTCTCTGCAACCTGCCACCCTTGGCCTCCCTGGAACTCAGGGCTAAAAGCAGGGTCTTTGGAGTGTGAGGTCCAGCGTGGTGTGGGGGCAGCTCTTCAGGTATCCCGCCCCTCACCTGTGAACAGCTTCGGTGGCACAACCACAGAGGACAAGAGCCCAGTGAGGTCATGCTGGTGACGCATTCGGTTCAAGGAAGGGACCCTTCACATCCAGTCACAAGAAAGGCGATCCGAGCACCCACAGGTCCCTGCCAAGCGCTGGGAGGCGCCCCGCCACCCACTGCAACCCCATCCAGGGCTGCTGCTCAGCCCTCTGCACCCCTCTCGGAACCCCCTTCTCAGTCACAGACTCCGCCCCTCCGGGACCCCCATCCCACTCCGGGTCCCACCCAAGGCTCCTCCCACAGTCCGCGACCCCCGTAATCCGGGCTTTTCCGACCGTCACCATCACCTCGGCCCCTCCCACCAGCTCCGCCTCGCCCCTTTCCTAGTTCTGTCCCCGCTAGCTCCCCTCTCCCCCGCGGCCACCTAGGTAGCCGGTCCCATTTCACAGATGAGGACGGAGAGGCTGGGGGTAGATGGCCTCTCATGGTAGGGCAGGCGCCAAGGCGGGCCCCGGCCCCTCAGCGGTGCTCCCGGAGCCCCGCGACCACCCTGGCAGCTCCGCACCCACCTCCTGCCCTCGCTCGGCAGCCTCCCCTCCGCAGGCGGCGGGCGCAGCTTGGCGAGGGGGGCGGGGGGCCCGAACCCAGCCCAGGGGCGTGGCGGCTCTGGGCGCGCGCGCTGCCTTCCGGGACTGGTGGTTCTCCCTACGCTCTTTGATGTCTCAACCTGCCAAATTCGAACTACCTCTCCCAGGAAGCACTGCGGCAAATTCCCCCCCCCCGCTCTCCGCTCCGCCCACACCGCGCTCAGGCCAGCTGGCCTTAAAGGGGACGCGACAGAGTGGCAGCTCGCGAGGTGGCCCCCGCTCCGGCTCCGCCCCGTTTCCCGCACCTCGCCCCTCCCCCCCGCTCCGACCTGCAGCCCCGCGGCCGCGCCGCAGCATCGGGCTCCTTAGGCACAGACAGGCTTGTGCAGAGCGAAGCCGGGGAGATCGGACTTTGCAGTGGGAGCAGCAGCCCTGTGGTCTGGGACCTGGCGGAGGGCGACCCCACCCAAGGGGGAGCAGAGGACCCGCCCTGACCTAGCGCGGCCCAGCCTAGTCCTGCCCGGCCTGAGCGCCCCGCCCAGGAGCGGGCTCTGTTAGCAGAGCCTGCTAAAATCCGGGAGGTAAGGGGGCTGGGGGCGAGTGTGAGGGTCGGGGTGGGATCGGTGTTTTTGCGCCCTGGCGTTTCAGGAACCCCGGACTTGTCCGTAGGTCTCTAATAACCCAAGCCTTTTAGACACGAGGGCTAAGCGCATCATAGGTCTTCCTGTGTGACCTTGGACAAGTAGCTACCCCTCTCTGGGCCTCAGCTGCTTCCTTCATCAGTTGTGAATTAAGGTGAACTGGCTGCCTACCTGTCCCTTCCCCTTTAGGTTTGAGGGCACTGGTACCCAGTACCATGGATCTGGCCAGCCTTACAGAGGAGGGGCACCAGTGCCTGGGGGTGCACTGATGTCATTGGAAGGGAGGGTCAAGCTAGGGGCACACACTGAATGAACCAGAGGGGCCCTTTACTCGGAAAAGGCTTTTGGGGTTCCTAGCATCTGGGATCCTGGAGTCCCTCACCTATAAAGGCCCTTGCAAACTGGAGTCCCCAGGGTGAGCGGTGTCAGCCAGGGCAGGAAGCCCGGGCAGGGGCACGGTCAGGCAGCCAAGAGTGGATACAGTGTGTTCCTGAGAAGGGAGCAGCCGCTCCTGCCCCAGCCCTTCTTCCCTCCATCTCTGTCATCTCCCATTCAAAGAGCAGTTGCTTGGCCAGTACAACCTCTGTTTCCAGAGACACCTTGGTCGCCCAGACAGGGACTTCTCAATGCAAGAAGGGCTCCTCTTGCACAGCGCTGTTTGGAGGAAGGGGGGAAAGAGAGAGAGAGAGGCTGCTGCCAGGAAACCAGAGGGATGGAGCCCCTAGGGTCATCAAGGGAGAGATCCAGAGTATGAGGGTCCGAGAGGGTTCTCGGGTAAGGAGCAGGGCTTGGAGGGCACCCCCACCTGGCTCAGGAAGAGATGGAGTGAAATTCCCCCTGTGGTACAGGGCCCTGTGAGCTTCTGACCTGAGTGCTAAAGGGGAGCAGTGTTTTTGTTTGTTTCTGCTTTTGCTTTTTCTTCTGCTTTGTTGCTTGAATCAATTCTAGAACAGCTGAGACCTCGCTCAGTGCAGTGCAGTGACCTCTATAGGGGATGCCTTAGCGAGGTTTAACGTTTTGCAGGTTATGATACACAAGCGCATGCCTGGGTAAGCGGGCAGCTCCTGTACCAGGCGGGGGCGGGGGCCTGTCTCTGGCCACTGCCTTGATTTCAGCTCATTTGTCGCATGTCTTTCCTTAGCCTCTTGACACACCTTCCTGGATCCCAATATGCTCGATCCCATACCAGGCATTAGGTACAAGACAGGGGGGCCTGGATCTATTTCCTGCCAGTGGGGGGTGGGGGACACCCCAGTTATGTTGCAGAGTGATGTGAGGTACCTGGACCCTGGGGATGCGAATTGTTGAGGGTCCAGGAAAAGGCTGCCCAGATGGGGGCCATGTGAGCTGGGCAGATGAGTCAGACAGAACCTGCTGAGGGTGAGAGGTGAGAGGTGAGAGAAAGGGGCTTCACTTACCAGGGGAGTCTGGCCTTCACCTGCTAGTTCTGAGTAGGAGACACAGCTGATGGTACTCATCATGCGGGGCTTGGGGAGACTGTGTAGGGATGTTGGGTATTGCTGGGACTTCTGGAGTGAGAAGGGTTGGAGCAAGGCATAGGGGAGCAGCAGTGATGCTGGCCTTCAGAAGCCAAGGGCTGGTCAGGTCATCACCGTCCATTCTGGAGTTCAGAGGCTGGAAGAGATCATGGAGTGCCCATTACTATGTATATGGCCACTGTGGCAGGGGGCAGTGACTGGACTCTGCTCCTGCTGGACATACACCTCTGCCAGACACGAGGAGGAAGAGCTGGACAAACACAGATCGGCCACAGATCAGCCTTGAGGGCTAAGGGGGGGGTGGCAATGCCATGGAGTGTCAACCCAGTCAGCAGTGTGTGGCTGCGCTCCTTCCCCAGCAGTGCCTGCCTCCTCCCTCCACACCAAATGGCCCACAGTAGGTAGACCAATGACTGCCCCGCCCTCTTCACTTTTGCATCTTGTCCCAGTCCTGAGTGGCACACCTAGAACAGTTTCCATTTTCCATCTGAGAAGGCCAAGAAGGCACCAAGGACTTGCCCAGCATCCTGTGGCATGATTCTGCAGCTGAGAGCCCAAGCCTGGGGCTTTTCAAGGGAGGACACAGCTGCTGCGTGCAGCTGTTTGGCTAGGGGCAGCTGGTTCTTGGGTCAAGGCTAGCCTGGACCACCCATCGTCTCCTCTTCCAAGGGCCTGGAGCTGGTGTGTGTGTGTGTGTGTGTAGCTTGTGTCTCTCTCTGTGGGTGGGAGTGCAGGACCCTCTCTCTGAGCCTCAGCTTCTCCCGTTACCCCTGGAGGGAGCGCGACTTCAGCCTGCCTCTGCTCCCTGGTCTGTGATGGGTCAGGTGAGCTCCAGGCCTCTGAAGCCCTTCGGTGTGTACGCATCTGAGCTATGATGGAGAGGGCTTTCTGGTATCCATGGTGACGGCTGACCTCAGACTGCCTGCGTAGGAGGAGAGGCAGGTAGGCAGGGCCTGCCTGCTGTGGCCAGAGTCCAGGCTGAGCAGGACAGGACGGCTGGCCTGGGGAGTGGCAGGGCTCTCAGAAGGCTCCCCTGCCTGAGATGCCAGCCGTTAGGTTCGGCCCATCTCCTGAGCTGGGCATCAGGTAGGGATGGCTGATGTGGTCATTCACATGATTCAATCTAATACTGTTGACAGGAGAACCAAGAAGCTCAAGGTCACTCAGTGAGTTGGGCCTGGAATGCAGGAGTCCTCATCCGGATTCTGATTGTCTTTCCTCTCCCAGAGCCTTTTCTGACCCCAAGCCTTCCTCACTTTTTCTTCACACCTGATGCTGGTACCTCGCTGTCTCGAGATTCTCTTTTGGCCAGAGGTTGAAAGCGTATTCTTTCCTTGTAGACTGGAACAGATCAGATGGGTGTGGAAGGTTAGCCACAGGTACTGCTTAGGAAGAGAGGGACCAGGGCTGAAGGGTGACTGGATTTATTTTTCTAACTGGAAAGTCAGATACAGAGAGAAGAGAGACAGAGATCTCTCCATCCAATGATTCATTCCCCAAGCAGCCACCACAGCTGGGGCTGAGCTGATCCAAAGCCAGGTGACAGGAGCTCTTCCAGGTCTCCTACGTGGGTGCAGGGCCATCTTTGTTTTCCCAGGCCACAAGCAGAGAGCTGGATGGGAAACGGGGTCACTGGGATCAGAACCAGTGTCCATATGGGATCCCTGTGCATGCAAGGCGAGAATTTTAGCTGCTAGGCTACTGCGTCAGGCTTAAGCGTTCACTCACTCTCTCCCTCTCTCTTTTTTTTTTTAAAGATTTATTTTTATTATTTTTTCATTGGAAAGGCGGATATACAGAGAGGAGAGACAGAGAGGAAGATCTTCCGTCCGATGATTCACTCCCCAAGTGAGCGCGACGGGCCGATACTATGCCGGTCCAAAGCCAGGAGCCTCTTCCGGGTCTCCCACGCGGGTGCAGGGTCCCAAAGCTTTGGGCCGTCCTCGACTGCTTTCCCAGGCCACAGGCAGGGAGCTGGAAGGGAAGCGGAGCTGCCGGGATTAGAACCGGCGCCCATATGGGATCCCGGGCGTGCTAGGTGAGGACCTTAACCACTTGCGCCACCGTGCCGGGCCCTCTCCCTCTCTCTTTTAAAGGATTTATTTATTTAAAAGAGTTGCAAGGCTGGTGAGAGAGAGATGGCCACAATGGCCAGGGTTGGGCCAAACCAATGCTAAGAGCTTCTTGCAGGTTTCCCACATGGTATAGAGACCCAGGCACTAAGGCCATCCACTGCTGCTTCCTAGGCACATATACAGAGAGCTGGATTGGAAGTGGAGTAGCCAGGACTCCAACAGGTGTCCATAGGGGATATGGTGTTACAGGTGGAGGTATAAACTGATATGCTATGACGCTGGCGGTTGGAGAACCATTTCCAAAGACAGTTCTCCTGAGCTGATGCTCCACAAATATGCCTGCCTCTGCCAGCTGCCTGGAAACTCCTTAATGGCAGAATCTTTGCTTCTAAAACAGGGGTGGGGGCATCCAGTCTGTAGGCTATACAAGCTCTGCAAATCAGCTGGTCAGGCCCTGTCAAGGCAACCACAGGCAGGATTTGGAATTCAATAGATCCCTAGCAGGCTAATTTTTAAGTTGATCATTTTGTAGGGTCTGTGGGTGATGCTATCCAAATGGCCCTTGGAAAGAAAAAGGCTCCCCAGATCTGCAAGCTGCAGGCATGGACACCTGCTGAGGACTCCCTTGTGCTCAGTCTCTAGCCAGGAACTTTTGTCCTCACAGCTGGGCAAGGCGGAAGCAGGGGTCGGGAGCGCAGGCCCCCTTCATGGTAACCAGAGCCCAGCTCAGAGCCTCCCGCAGACAGGAACACATGCAGTGTAGGGGCAGGCATGGATGCTTGCATCCTGTGCTAGGGGAGCTGTGGTTGCACTTCCCACCCTGCTTCCAACCCAGTTTTCTGCTACTGTGCACCCTGGGAGGAGCCCCATGATGACCGAGTCTCCTCATGGGAGACCCAGACTAGGTTCCAGGCTCTTGCTTCAGTCTGACCCAGCCCTGATGTGCTGAGCACTAGGGGAGTGAACCAGCAGATGGAAGATACATCTTCTGTTATTCTGTCCTTCAAACAAAAACAATTGAGAGGGAACCGGCGGTGTGGCCTAGCAGCTAAAGTCCTCCCCTTGAACGTGCCAGGATCCCATATGGGCTCCGGTTCTAATCCCGGCAGCTCCACTTCCCATCCAGCTCCCTGCTTGTGGCCTGGGAAAGCAGTCGAGGAGGGCCCAAAGCTTTGGGACCCTGCACCCGTGTGTGGGAGACCCGGAAGAAGTTCCTGGCTCCTGGACTCGGATCGGCATAGCATCGGCCGTTGCGCTCACTTGGGGAGTGAATTATCGGATGGAGGATCTTCCTCTCTGTCTCTCCTCCTCTCTGTATATCTGACTTTCCAATAAATAAATAAATCTTAAAAAAAAAAAAAAAAAAAAAGAGGGAAAATAAAGGAAGAAACCAGGAAGCCTGCAGGGGGCGCTGTCACTCACCTTTCCCCATCTCACTGAGGCAGCCAGGCCAGCACTAGGAATGGCTGACGGAGGAGCTGACACACCTGCAATAAATGAGCCTTGCTGCTTGTTCCAGGGCACTCACAGCCCAGTAAGATAGACTGACATAAATGGGCCCACTGTGCCTTACCACATGCAGTGAGGCTGTGAGGCCTGCTGGGTCATCGCTGAGCCCTCCAAGGGGCCTGGCTCAATTAGCAGTCACATTTCACATTTGCTGGCCCAGGATCCAGGATGTGGCCTGGCCTAGCTCTACACCAGATCCAGGTGTGAAGGGAGCAGGTTTAAGCCAATCAGTTTAAACACTGATCACACACTGAACCTTCTCTTGGATCTTACCAAGAAGCTCTGGAGGAGGAGCTGAGAGTTGGGTGTTCAGAGAGCGGGGTTGTGCCCACTTGAACAGCACAAGATCAGCAGTCAGCGATCAGCATGGGTCAGAGGTGGCCAGGAAACAGCCCAGGTAGCCTCGCACTGTACTCTGGGTGCTGGCGTGCTAAGCACCAAGCCGGGCACAGGGGATCCTGGCACAGTTCTTACCCTTGGAGACTTGTGGTGGGAGAGGCTGGCTGTATTCATGACATGCTAGGTGCCATCAAGGAAAAGGATAGAATGTCCCAATTTGTTAATCAAGGCTTTTGACCGCACAGGGAGGTCAGGCCAGACTACCTTGAAGAGGTGGATTTCAGCTGCAATCTGTAATGTCAACCAAGCCAGGAGGAAGTGGAAAGAGCCCTCGGAGCTGCTGGGGTTCAGAGAGACCCGAGGGAGCCAGGAGACACAGACAGGGCTCTTGTCATGCCTGGCTGAGGAGCCAGGCCTGGTGACAACAATGGAACAGACAGGAAGGAGGGAGGGCTGGGGATTCACCTGTTCTCTCCTCACCCACTCCTTATCTTGAGTGATCCCAGGTGGCTGTAAGAGGGGGTAAGAGAAGCTACTGTTGAGGGTAGGTGTTTCACATCAGTTTTAAGGAAAACCAGAGTTTCGCGTGTGGTGTACAGCAGGGCATGGGGCAGGCGAGGGGGCCCTCTGCTGAGGGGCAGTGTTGGGCAAACGCCCTGGTGCAAAGTGGGAATCTTGCCCAGGTGAGGGTAACTTTGGGTAAGGTATTGCCTAGGAACAGAATGCAAAGCACGAGCACTGGACGCTAGCTCTTCCTGTGCCCTCATTCCAAGCCCAGGGTGTAACTAGATCCAGGCTCTGGACAGCACTTCTAGACCCAAGTCCCTCCGTTCCCAAGGCTGATGAAGTCAACCGGGGTGCCCAGGGTCCTGTTGGCAGACATTTCAAGCTGCAGGAGCTCCCAGGGCATGCTAAACGAGGAGCATGGTATGTACTTCCCGGTGACGTAGGTTATCTTTGCCCCGTTTCACAGATGAAAGGACTAAAGCCCAGCGAGGCTTAATTGCTCGCCCACGGCCTCAACGCCCACAGTGCCGCTCCACGAGAACTGACCGTGGCGTTCGAGCTCCACTAGCCGTCGGGCAGAAGGAGACTAGCTCCCTGCGTTCCCACCGCACCTCGCTGCCACCATGGACAAGATCCTGGAGGCAGTGGTGACCTCGTCGTACCCGGCCAGCGTGAAGCAGGGGCTGGTACGGCGCGTGCTGGAGGCGGCGCGGCAGCCGCTGGAGCGGGAGCAGTGTCTGGCGCTGCTGGCGCTGGGCGCGCGACTCTACGTGGGCGGCACGGAGGAGCTGCCGCGCCGCGTGGGCTGCCAGTTGCTGCACGTGGCCGGCCGCCACCACCCCGACGTCTTCGCCGAGTTCTTCAGCGCGCGCCGTGTGCTGCGCCTGCTGCAGGGCAGCGCCGGCCCACCGGGCGCCCGTGCGCTCGCCTGCGTGCAGCTGGGCCTGCAGCTGCTGCCTGATGGGCCCGCGGCCGACGAGGTGTTCGCGCTGCTGCGGCGCGAGGTGCTGCGCGCCGTGTGCGAGCGTCCTGGGCCCGCCGTCTGCGCGCAGGTGGCCCGGCTGCTGGCGCGGCACCCACGCTGCGTGCCCGACGGTCCGCACCGCCTGCTCTTCTGCCAGCAGCTGGTACGCTGTCTCGGTCGCTTCCGCTGCCCCGCCGAGGGCGAGGAGGGCGCCGTGGAGTTCCTGGAACAGGCCCAGCAGGTGAGCGGGCTCCTGGCGCAGTTGTGGCGCTCACAGCCCGCTGCCATCCTGCCCTGCCTCAAAGAGCTGTTCGCTGTCATCTCCTGTACAGGTGCGTGTGTCCTGGGAGCTGGGGCTGGGGCGTGTGCTTGTGGGTTGGCATATTGCCGCCACGGTGTGCTGAGAGAGCGAGGGAGAGGGAGAGAGCGAAGACAAGTGAGCCAGTGAAAGAGCAGGCACTGGGCCGCTGAATTACTCAGTCGCCAAACCTAACCTAGGTACCACTGTGGATCCTGGTGTGTTTGGGGGAGGGGGAGGTGGGAAGGAGCTGGGGCCGGAGCTTGCCAGCTGCACACAGCCTTTGGGTCAGGTGGCTTTGCTGGCGGTTAGGACTTTGGAGGTGAGCCCAGAGTGATAGTCTCTGGGCAGGCACAGGTGGACCCCGGGTTTGCAGGTTTAACCCCGAGGTGTGGCATGGAGATCTTGTGTTGGAAGCTGTGGAACATAGGCCACAGTGTTAAGGCTTGAAGGGAAACCCAAGCCTCCCGGCATGGCAGCGCTGCCCAGGACACAGGAAGGGAGCATACCTGGTGAGAACCACCATGCCAGGTGGTGTACAAGATCTGAGTCCTTACACAGCCCAGCACTGACACACCCATCACTAAATGGGCTTTCTGGTCTGCAGGCCCCTGTGGTGGTGGCAACTAGAGTCGCCCTCCCACCCCCTTCCAAGTCACACAGCCACCCTGTCTTTGCTGTCTATAGCTCCAGTGTCAGCCTTTCTAGGGCCATGCCCCTCACTAGCCTGCACTTACAAGGCTGATGCTTCCTCCCTGGGTCCAGCAGAGAACTGGGCCCAAAGCAGTGGTAGGCGGTGAAGGTGTGTTGAGTGCGTGAGTGAATGGAGAATTGGGGACTGTAACGCTGGCCCCCATGCACTCTTTATGGAGGGCCAGGCCTTTTCCTTGGTGAGTTGGAAAGAGTGGTGGAGGGGAGGGGCAGGCCTTCCCTGCTGCTAAGCTCAGCCTTGCCTGCTGACCCAGATGAGGAGCCCCCATCCAGCGCCCTGGCCAGTGTGGTCCAGCACCTGCCCTTGGAGCTCATGGATGGTGTCGTCCGGAACCTCAGTAATGATGACAGTGTGACAGATGCCCAGATGCTGATGGCCATTAGCAGGTGGGGTGCTGAGGGCCCTGTCTTCCTCCTCCCAGGGGCTCCCTGGGGTGGGTGGGGGTGTTGGACCAGGCCCTCCTCATGGCTCAGTTGTTTTTTGTGGAGCCCTGTGCTGGGGTGGTGGTCATGGGGGGTTACACTCAGAGATCCCTGTTCCAGAAATGCTGCTGGGTTAGGGGGACCAGCTGTGTGACCTTGGGTTTGCAGGGGAATGCTCAGCTTCCATTTACTCCCTCTGTAAAGTAAAGATGGGTGGTGGTGTAAGAAGTTGGGCTTTAAGGGATTGTAGCAGAAGGCCAAAGCCCTCTGGTGTGCTCTGTGAGTCTGGTGAATGGGTGCTTTGCAGCTCCCAGAGCCCTCATGTGGTCCCACCCCACTTGAATGCCATCATCCTTGTGACCAGGCTGCACCTGCCTGTGTGGGGAACCCTGGAATGTGCCATCTGTCCTCCTCCCTATGGGCCTTGGCCTTTGTAGACCCCATCCACCCTGCATGCCTCCCTCGGCCATTTTGCCATTCTTTCCTACGCATGCTCCTGAACCATGTCTTTGAGGCCCTTCCCCCATGATGCCTGGTCTTGAGTGAATAAGAGTATGGGCTCCAGATGTGGGGTTCAGGAAGTCAGATCCTGCCCCTTCTGTTCTGGTCTGTGGCTTCGGATAAGTTGCTCAACTTCTCTGTGCTTCAGTTTCCTCTGCTAGAAATTGAAACAAAGTTAATCTTCCTGTGGAGGTTTGTTATGAGGATTCGATTAGATGGGATAGGGCCTCGAAAAGTGTGGAGGACCCATGTGTGATTGCAGCTGCTCCTGTTCTGCTGCTATGGTCTCCGTCTCCCAGCACAGCCCTAGTAGCACAGTTAGCACAGGAAGGCTTTCTTGTGCACCTGTTATGTGGTGGCTCCACACTTGCTCTACACAGGCATTGTGCTGTGAAGTTCAAGTGTGTTAATTCACACAAAGCAGAGAGTGCTGTGCCTGTGCAGGCTATTGGCTCTGCTGATCCACATGACAACCTCGGGGGTGGGGAGAGGTTGTGTCACCCATATTACAGAGGAGGAAACTGAGACATAGAGAGGGGAGATGACTTGTTCCAGGTCACACAGCAAGAGCTTGCTGGAACCAGAGCTGCCAGCTCAGAGTCTGTGCTCTTCCAGGCTGCCAGCTCTACCGTTCTGCCAGTGTAGCCAGTGTGTGTGTGTATGTGTGTTTGTGTGTGTTGGGGGAAGTTGGTCCTGGGGGACTGGCAGCCTTGGACTCTGTCCCCTGTGATTGCTGCGATTCGGTGTGTTTCCCAGTGGTGTCATGTTCACTTCCACAGATGACAGGGCTTCCCTGGGCAGGTGGGAACTTGGGAGGTGACAGCTGGCCCCTGGGCTGCCCTCACCAGCATTGGGGCTCTTTGGTCCCTGTGTCACTGTTGCTCCCCTCACCAGGATGATCGACTGGGTTTCTTGGCCCCTGGGGAAGAACATTGACAAGTGGATCATTGCCCTGCTGAAGGGCCTGGCTGCCGTTAAGAAGTTCAGCATCTTGATCGAGGTTTCGCTCACCAAAATTGAGAAGGTTGGTGGCCCTGGCCTTGCTGGCACTTATGGCCTTTGCCTCTGGTCTCTTGCCAGGGACAGTGCAGATGGGGGAGGCAGAGCTCCCATCCGAGTTTGCTGTGTGACCTCGGGCAAATTATCGCCCCTCTCTGGGCCTCAGGTTCCCCTCCCCCCAATTTATTCCTTTAATTGATCATTCAAATACATGCATGTGTCACTTCCAGTGTGCCCCTCATCCATCCATTTTACCACCTGTCCCTTCGTACGGGTCTGTGAGCACCTGTGTTCCTGCTGTCAGCATGGGGTTGCTGTTTTTACTCTGCCTCTTAGGCCTGTGGTTGAATTTGGCCTTATGTGACCTGGGGGAGAGGGGCTCCTGACCGGAGACTGTCTTCCAGGTTTTTTCGAAGCTGCTGTACCCCATTGTGCGGGGAGCTGCCTTGTGTGTCCTCAAGTACATCCTCCTGACTTTCCAGCACTCCCACGAGGCTTTCCACCTGGTAAGCACCCTGAGGATAGGCGGCCGTGCACCTACTCTGGGCTGGGAGGCCTGATGTGCTGACTTTGTTGGAGATTTGGGCTGGGCACGTGTGCCCAGGACCTCCAAGGTCAGGCTGTTGGAGCTGGAGGAAGCTGCAGACCCCACTTGGCAATTAGAGGGTTTGCGTGGCCTTTGCCCAGGCATGTGTTTGAGTGACAGAATCGACTGATGACAGCCTGCCAGCCCCTGGGGTGGCACTGTGTGCCGGCCTCCATGCTAAGGACAGCACTCACATTCATTCATGTAATTTGCAGAGAATATCCACCCCACTGAAGGAGGTTCGGTCATGGCCTCCATGCTTCAGGCAGTGGGGGAGGTCACTGTCACAGGCCCATCTTGCAGGGGGCACAGGGATGCTGTGACTCCCAACCCCATGTGCTTCTGACACCCAGCAGAGGTGTCCTTTTTGGGGAAGGATGCCTAAGGCCATGGGCTGCTTTCTGCTGCACCTGCCTGCCTGTCTTCACTGGGGACCTGCAGGTGGACTCCCAGTTATGGTTGCTGCTCAGAGCTGTGAAATGTCACACATGCCCATTCATTGAAGAGACAGAAGCACAGAACCAAGAGTTGAATTTGGACTTGGCCCTTGTCAGAGGTGATACCTTCAGGCCAGGCACTTGGCCTCTCAGAGCTGGGTACTGGACAGACAGAATGATGGGGGAGGGGTTAGAGGAGGTGTCTGCTGCCTGCTTGTTCCGTTCCCATGTTAACGTCTTGTGACTTTGTGGCCCAACACCCTGATGAGTTTACAAGTTGAAACTACTATGTGAGGGAAAGGCATGGGCTATGAATTCAGATATAACCCAGATCTCAGCTTGTCTCATAACCCACTGTGGCAAATGAAACCCCCTCCCTCATTTCATTTTCTTTCTTTAAAAAAGGTGTTTTTTTTTTTTAATTGGAAAGACAGATTTATACAAAGAAGGAGAGACAAAGGGAGAGCTTCTGTCTGCTAGCTCACTCCCCAAATGGCCGCAACAGCTGGAGCTGAGCTGAGCTGATCTAAAGCCAGCAGCCAGAAGCTTCTTCTGGGTCTCCCACATGGGCACAGGGTGCCAAGGCTTTGGGCCATCCTCTGCCGCTTTCTCAGGCCACAAGCAGGGAGCTGGGTGGAAAGTGGAGCAGCTTGGACACAAATCAGCGCCCATATGGGATTTCAGTGCTTGTAGGCAGAGGATTAGCCAGCTGAGCCATTGCATCAGCCCATTTTATTTTCTGATTCTTGCTTCTGTGTAGTCACAGAGCAGATGATGAATGCGACAGGCAGCAATGATGGGATGGGTGATGGTGGTTGTCTCTAGAGGCTACCATTCAGACTATCAGGCCCTACCCAGCCGACTGTGTGTGGCTCCAACGACATTCATGCTGGACAGAGTAGCCTTGGTCACTTGGGCCTTCAGGCACGTGGGCAGGGAAGCTGGCAAAGGCTGGGCACTTGGATTTGAACTCTTGCACCTCACCACTGTGGGGACGATATTTACCTTGCTCTGTGGGCAGACTCTGGACAGGAGGCCTAGAATCATACGCCTTGGCAAAGAAGTCGTGTACCTGTAGGGTTTGAGGCACTGGTGAGGGGAATAGCACTGATCTGGTGGTGTGTGAACAGACTTCCCTGCCTCCCAGAGTCCTGAGGTCTATGACAGGGCCTGAGACGCTGCATCTTGGGGGATGCAGCTGTAACCTGTTGCTGAATCTTACCCTGCTCTGCCGCTGCAGCTCCTGCCTCACATCCCGCCCATGGTCGCCTCCCTGATCAAAGAGGACTCGAACTCAGGCACCAGCTGCCTGGAGCAACTGGCAGAGCTGGTCCACTGCATGGTGTTCCGGTTTCCAGGCTTCCCGGATCTGTATGAGCCTGTCATGGAGGCCATTAAGGTGAGTTCAAGTCCCTGCTTTGTCCCTTGCCCTGTTCTGACACAGGTGTCTATTAGGGTCTTCCTCTGGGCTTGGCAGCAGCTCCCCGTCACTTGGTCTGTTAGTGTTGACCCTTGCCTTCCCCAGGCCATCCCATGCTTCAGGCACACCATCCCACCTGCCCGTCCCCTGGAGTGTCACCCTCTGTCATGACTGCTTTTAGCCTTTGTATATGATATGCCCGGGTCATTCCTGTAAGACTGTCAAGGTTCCCACCCCCAGGAAACTGCTCACATATCTGCCACCACCACCACTAGGCTGTCACATGTTATCGCATTTGACTGCTAGTGCTCAGGTGGGGCTATTCATAATACCCAGTAGCCTTCACTGATGTTTTACTCTTTGCCAAGTTCGGGCTAAAATGGTGGGCATGAAGCAAACCAAATCTGCTTCATTAAGGAGTTGGTGGCCTGGTGGTGTGGCAGACCCGTATACAGAAACCTGAACAGCTGTGACAGCGTCAGCTAGGGTAAGGACAAGGGGGAGTGGCACAGGTGAAGAAGAGGAGAAAGGCTCTGGGCCAGGCTTGATGAGTTGCCAGGACCTGATGGTGATGGTCACTTGTGTGGAGCTGCCCCACTCTGCCGTGGTTTTTGTCCTGTGATACTCCTAAGGGATTTGTGAAACAGCCACTGTTATTTGGGCCTCAAAGATGAGAAAAACAAGCCTTGGAGTGGTTTTGCCACTTGTGTTGAACCACAGAGGTGGTGGGAGACAGAACCAAGGCCCTGGGCTGCCAAGCATCTGCCCATTGCCTGAGGCAGAGGGCAGGGCTGAGCATGGGGCAGGTATCAAGGGAGGTACCCTTTCAGAAGCTCAGCTCTGACTTCTGCTTTGATGGGCGGGCGGGCTGGCTGGCAGAGCTGGCTGGTGTGTCATATGACATCTGGAAGGTGCTTGTTAGAACAAACCTATTGTTGGGTACTTCACTGAGCTTGCGTGGGAAGTAGTGGAGGAATCCCTGGAATCAGGAAGGAAGAGAAAGTGGAATTCCAGTGGTAAGAAATGGTGTCCCGTTTGCCTGATGTGAGCAGGGAGGGGGCAGGATGGTCCACCTCAGTGAGCAAAGTGAGACAAGAGAGGGTGTGCAAGGCCTGTCCCTGATTGGGGGTGGGTGTTGCTGAGCCCAAGAATGCTTTGCTGTTAGCCAGCAAAGAGTAGTTTGAAAAAACTGCATGCACTCCCAAATGGGCAATGAGAGTAGGGCTCTGCACTGGGAACAAAAGAAATTTGTAACCAGTGGCCTGTTCCCATGTGGGCTTAGGGGTTTGAATGCAGGTCTTCTTGCAGGGGTGAAGTCCCCAAACTCAGACACCAACGTGAAATGTACTCATGAGCTTGCAAGAAGATTGCCTGGTAAAACAAGCCATAAAGATATGCTTCTACTGAAGGCAAGCTTGTAATCCAAAAAGTACAAAACACACAGAGGGGGCATCCCTTTTGCATGAGCAAGAATAAATCTAACAAGCACAATCTGATTTACTTGGCTGTCTTTGGGCTTTCAAATCTTGGGAAAGAATGCTGTAAGAGAGCCGACTTAGAGTGGGAGGGGCTCTCCATCCCCAGAAGTGGTCGAGTAGGTGTTGGAGGGCAGGCCTTGCGCCTGGTCAGGGGGATGTTACTTCAGGTTTCCAGTTTTGTAAGAAAGAGTAGTGCAAGAGCTCTGAGCTCTGGGCTGCTTGGACTGCTCATCTTTCCTGCTGGCTTGTGAGCTTCTGTGAGGCAGAGATGGGTGGTTTTGGTGCCTGGCTCTCCTGTGTCCATTGAGTGGCTGGGGGTGACCCAATGGGCTTCGTGTAGTGGGAGAGGGGTGTGGGCAAACACAAGTGGGGAGCAGAGTCCTGTGCTGCAATCCTGGAAACTGAAGAGGAGTGAGGCCAGGCTTGGTAGGCTGGGAGCTGATGGTTCCATCCAGGGGGACCAGGTATGTGTAGACTCCTGTACCGGGAGGTGTGAAGCCTTGGAGCTCACGTGACAGGGTTGAGTGGCATAGAGACCCCCACTAGACAACATGGAACTTTTTTTTTTTTTTTAATTTAAATGGCAGAGTTACAGAGAGAAGTGAGGGGAAGAGTGGAAGGAGTAGATTTTCTATCTGCTGGTTTACTCCCCAAATGGCTGCAATGGCCAGAGCTGGACTGGTCCAAAGCCAGGAGTCAGGAGCTTCTTCTGAGTCTCCCATGTGGGTACAAGAGCCCAAGGACTTGAGCCATCCTCCAGAGCTTTACCAAGCATATTATCGGGGAGCTGGATCACAAGTGGAGCATTCTGGGGCTCAAACTGGCACCTGTATGGCATGCTAGTGCTACAGATGGCAACTTTCTGAGGGGAAAGAGACTGTAAGACAGAGAAAGGAATATGGACCTGAGAACCAGTAAAGGGAAACTACCCTGAATGAATCAGAGGGACAGTGGGAGGTGTCTGTCCTCCAGGACACAGTATGTCAGCATGGCAGGGGCTGCAGCAGAGCCGTGGGCAGAGTTCAGGGTTTTAAAAGCTGGGCTGAGTCACTGTGCTTCACCCAGCAGATCTGCACTTCGTGAAATCCTTGACGTCGGAAGGAAGACTCCCAAGAGCAGTTTCACACTGGCTGAGTTTCTCTATTTCATGTGATGACAAAGATACAAGTGTCTACTTCACGATTTATACATGAGCAGTGTTTCCTTCCCTGAGTGTTAGAGCGTGCATTCCCGGGAAGATAGGCACCATTTATCCTGGGATTTGCAGATCCTTTGCATTGAGCCAGTTTGAGAGGCAAGGCAGCTAATCATGGTATGGTTTATAAGGCTTCTCATGTGTGTCCCATAAGTGCATTCTGTATACATGAGCCTTTGTAAGTAAGTTCTGGAAGATTCTCTCATGAAGGCAGATGAATGTCAAGTTATGGCTGTTTGCGAGCTGTAGCCCTTGCTAAGGGAAGGAAGCACTGAATGTAAATTTCTAAGACAGGAGCTTGAGAGCTGTCAGCAAGCTTTTGGTTTGGTCTTCCTGGGAGTACAAAGTTAGCTTTTTTTTGGGGGGGGTACAATATTTCATTTATTTGAAAAAGAAATATCATCCATCTTCTGGTTCATTTCCAGAATACCCGACAGCCAAGGTTTGGTCAGGCTAAAGCCAGAAGCCCAGAGCCCACATGGGTGGCAGGATCCAAGTACTTGACCCATCGTCCCAGGGTGTGCATTACCAGGAAGCTGGATTGGAAAGCAAGCCAAGAATCAGGCCTGGGAACTCTGATATGTGCTGGATGCCTGCCCCAAAGTTCTTTTTCTTTTTGCTTTTTTTTTCTTCTCTTTTCTTTCTTTTTCTTCTCTTTTCTTTCTTTCTCTCTGTCTTTCTCTCTTTCGTTCTTTCTAAGATTTCTTTTTAACTTGAAAGAGTTATAAGGACAGAGAGAAAAACTTAGATCCTACATCTGCTTTCTGGCTCCCGAAAATGGTCACAACTGCCAAAGCGGGACCAGTGCAAAGCCAGGAGCCAGGAGCTCCTTACACATGAGTGCAGGGACCCAAGTGCTTGTGCCATCATCCCCTGCTTCCCTAGACACATTAGGGATTTGGGTTAAAGTGGAGCAGCTGGATCTGAAACTGGCATCAATGTGGGATGCCAACGGTGCAGGGAAATACTGAGACTGCTACACTGTGGTGCCCTCTTGTGAATTTTCTGGTGTGGGTTTTCCCCCATCTTCTCCGTGTGTGTGTCTGCTTCTGCCTCTTTGTTATGATTTGTTCATGGTGTGTGTGTTCCCTGGGCAGGGGAGGGTTGGCTAGAACATAACAGAGCCTGCACCTGCCTGGCTCCCCTCCGGATTCCCTGGTGGTAGTTGCCCTTGAGGTGATCAGGGACTGCCTTATCTGATGCAGTATTTGAGAAATGGTTCCAGAGATGAGTCAGTGGGATGTTAAATGGCTGCTTGAGCAAGCCCTTCCAGTTACAGGCCGTGCTCCGGGGACAGGAGGCCCTGGGTGCTGAGCTAGCTGATAACTCTGGGGCACCTCATACTCATTTAGGGGTTGCTCTCAGGTTCTGGGAGTAAGAATGGAGTTGGAGCATTTTTGCAAATGCCCCTTGTGCCTGCTGGCACCATGTTGTGCCTCTGTGTTAGAACTGTGTCTGGCTTTCCTCCTTGAGGTACAGCTGGTCTTTGTCCTATGTTTGTGTATTTGAAAAAGACACACAGGCCCACGCACACAGACGCATAGAATCATCTGCTGATTCACTCGCCAGATGCCCTCAGCAGTCAGGACTAATCAGGCCGAAACCAGGAGCACAGAGCTCCAGCTGGGGCCTCCCAGGTGGGTGAGGAGGACTTAAGTGCTGGAACCTGCTGCCTCGGGTGCATGAGCAGAAAGCAGACCTGGGTCTGGCACCCAGCCCTGGGCTACAGAACACAGTGTTCTGAGCATCGCCTAAGCCACTATTCCACAGAGGCCATCCTGAGGCATGGCCATGTGCCATGACCATGGCGAGTGGGGGGGTTAGTGCTGGCTCTAGCCGTGACCCAGGACCCACCCTGCAGACCTCCAGGATCCTCTTGCTGTCCTGACAAGAGAACTCCTGTAGAAGACTGGGGTTGCTGACTCTTGGAAGCTGCCTCTTAACGCTCATCAGTCAGAACAACCACAACATCATCATGTGCGAGCACCTTGATTACAGAAAGCCAAACCGAAGCAGGTGCAGTGTCCTCCCTTGACAGGTGAGGATACTGAGGCCTGGGGAGCCCACTACTTCTTATGGCTGGAGTGAAGGAGAGTCAGGGCCGAATTGGGATCTGGTTGGCTTGGGCTGCTGGAGCCCGTCAGACCTGGACTATTCAAGGAGTTTTAGGTTCTTCATCTATTGTCTGTGTGACCCTGAATGAGTCTTTGCTTTTTCCATCTGTGAAATGGGACCATGCCACCTTAAGGCAGCAGTGGCTGTGAAGGTCATATAGACGGCCCACCTGCCAAGGGGAGAACCTAAAATGAGTTTGTAAGCAGGGACTAGCTGACACACATCTCTGGAGCATTGGGAGGCTGTGTGGTAGGCTGTAGTTCAGGAAGGCTTCCTAGAGGTGGTGATATTTTTGGAGCAGACCTCAGTACTGCTACTTGTCCCCTCCTCAGGACCTGCAGGTTCCCAACGAGGACCGCATCAAGCAGCTGCTGGGACAGGATGCCTGGACATCACAGAAGAGTGAGCTGGCTGGCTTCTACCCCAGGCTCATGGCAAAGTCTGACACGGGCAAGATTGGTTTAATCAACCTGGGCAACACCTGCTACGTGAACAGCATCCTTCAGGCCCTGTTCATGGCTTCTGAGTAAGTGCTGCCTTGGGAAGTCCTGGTTGGCCTTTCCATTGGAAAATTGCCAGGAGGTGTGTGGGTGGGCAAAAGCCCTCTGGGAATGCCAGAGCAGGTGTGGGAGGACTCGGAAAGTGTGAGGCCATCACCAAGGCCTTGGGGTGTTGCAGTCTGGGCTGCAGTGGCAATGGGTCTGCCTCGGGTTGGTTCATGACTGACTGCATTTCCTGGAGGAGGTCTGCATCTTCCAGAGTAAAACTGGCACTCACCTTAGTAGATTTTTCTCTTTTTAAAGGGAGCAGTACAGTCTGTGTTGTCTGTGGCTACCTATCAGCCTCCACTGGCTGGTTTATCAGAAAGTGGGCTCTGAATCCAGCTGACCCCGTGGCCTCATGTCTGCTGCTGCTCTGTGAGCCGCAGTTCCCGTAGGAGGTTGGAGCTGATGGCAGAGGCTGTCCACACTATTGCTGCTTGTTCATTTCCAATGCCTGGTGACAAGCTTTTTTTTTTATTTTAAACTTAATAACTTCTGGATCTGCTGCCTTATGTCACTTTTATAAACACAACAAAATGACTTACTGGGTGAATGCTCAGGTGCTTGTGGTCGCAGTAACGGTTGTCTTACTTGTGCATCTCTCTAGGGTAGAGTGCCATGTTTCAACTCATCTGTGCAGCCTAAACTGGCCAAGTCAGGAGATGAGCCTTTCCACTTCCTTTTGCTTGGCAGGGAGGGGGGTGGGCCACCAGCTTCTCACGGAATGTGTTGTGACCTGGAATCCCAAACAGGGCTGTAGAACACTAGAACTGGCCACTTCTGCCTATGTTTGTCCCTCACCCGCTTCCCAGCCTCCTGTAAATGCTACTCTGGGTTTGGTTGACAGTCTTGTAGCTTACGCATGCGTCGTGTTTGGGTCAACACAGTGATGTCCAGTTCACCCGTTTTGCTAACCTGACAGGATCCCATGCTTTATACGGCTGACCAGTAGTGTGTGTGTGCCATGTTGGCTTCTGCTTAGCCACTGTGGGTGCTAGTAGATGGTGCCCGCAGTGAGTGTGGGTGTGTGTAGGTGGGTTACATTTCCTTTGGATATATTCTAGCCTGTGTTTGTTCGTTTATAGTGTTCTGAAGCTGAACTCTTCTGGAGTGGTGGCTGTCCTTACCTGCACTGCCCCCAAGTGTTTAAGGGTTCCCCTTTCTCCTCCTCCTCACTGGCAGCTGGTTTTTTGTTGTTTTCTTTTGTGAAAATAGCCACTCTGATTGGGGTGAGAGGTGATATCTCATTGTGGTTTTGATTTTGCAGTTCCCTGATGGCTAAGTGATACTGAAAACATTTTAATATATTTGTTGACTAGGAGTATTTCTTGAGAAATGTTGACTCATATACTTTTTTTTTTTTTATAAAGATTTATTGTACTGGTTCACTCCCCATGTGGCTGTGACAGCTGGAACTGAGCCAGGCCTAAGCCGAGAGCTTCTTCTGGGTCTCCCATGTGGGTGCAGAGGTCCAAGCTATTAGGTCATCCTCTACTGCTATCCCAGGCTGTTAGGGAGCTGGATTGGAAGTGGAGTAGCCAGGTCTCGAACTGCTGTCCATATGGGTGCAAGGAAGCAGTTAACTAGATAAGATTCCAAACTGATCTTTTGGGTGGTGGTTGTATTCGTTATATATTCTGGCTATCTTTGTCAGCTATTTACAGCAACTTGTAAATACATTCTGCTGGTTGTTTACTATGCAGAAGATTCTTAATTGATATAATCTAATTTGTCTGATTCTATTTTTGTTGCCAGAGTTTGTGGGATTTTACCCAGAATGTCCTTGCCTACACTGATACTCTCATGTGTTTCCAACTGGTAGCTTCAGGTCTTAGGTTCATGTCTTTTTTTTTTAAGATTTAGTTATTTATTACTTGAAAGGTGAAATAGAGTTCTTTGGTTCACTGGTTCTCCCCTCAAGTGGTTGCAACAGCTAGAGCTAAACTTATTTGAAGCCAGAAGCCAGGAGTTTTTTCTGAGTCTCCCACATGGGTGCAGGATCCCAAGGTCCTGGGCCATCCTCAACTGCTTTCCAAGGACACAAGCAGGGAGCTGAATGGGAAGTGGAGCTGCTGGGACTAGAACCAGTGCCCATATGGAATGCCAACACTGCAGGCTGAAGATTAACTTGCTAAGCCATTATGCCCCAGGGTGTGTGAGTTTAAGACTTATTTATTTTTAAAAGATTTATTTCATTTTTATTGCAAAGTCAGATATACAGAGAGGAGGAGAGACAGAGAGGAAGATCTTCCCTCTGATTACTCACTCCCCAAGCACCCGCAATGGCCAGTGCTGTGCCGATCCAGAGCCAGGAGCCAGGAGCCAGGAACTTCCTCCAGGTCTACCACACGGATGCAGGGTCCCAAGGCTTTTGGGCCATCATCAACTGCTTTCCCAGGCCACAGGCAGGGAGCTGGATGGGAAGTGGAGCTGCTGGGATACGAACTGGCACCCATGTGGGATCCTGGGGCATTCAAGGCAAGGAGTTTAGCCTCTAGGCCAGCACGCTGGGCCCATGACTTATTTATTTTTATTTGAAAGGTAGATTTACAGAGAGAGAGGGAGAGTTAGCTTCCATCTGCTGGTTCACTCTCCAAATGGCTGTAATGGCCAGAACTGAGTCATTTCAAAGCCAGGTGCCAGGGGTGGCTTCTGGGTCTCCCTTGTGAGTACAGGGTCCCAAGGACTTGAGCCATTCTCCTCCACTGCTTTCCCAGGTCATAAGAAAGGGGCTGAATCAGAAAGAGGAGTTGGGACATGAATTGGCACCCATTTGGGATGCTGATACTGCAGGTTGAGGAATAGCTGGCTACACCATCACGCCAGTCCCAGATTAGGTCCTTTAAAAAAAATTGAGGACTGAGAGCAAGCTTCCTTTTAATGGTTCACTCTTCAGGTACTTGTGATGCTGGGATGGACTAGGACCAAAGCTGGGAGCTGGGTGTGCAGTCCAGGTGCCCCTCATGAATGACAGGACCCCCCGCTCCTTGAAGCATTGTGACTACCTCTCACTTTGTGTTAGCTAGGAGCTGGGAGTGAAAGCCAGGCTTGCTGAGGCGGGGATGTGGACATGTTTATCACTTGGCCAAACGCCTGCAGCTGTGTTTAAGTCTTGTCTGTTCTGAGACCATGTTTATGTGGGTTGAGTGACGGTGAAGGGCTTCGGTTTCAGGCTCCTGACGTGGATGTCCAGTGTTCCCAGCAGTAATGATGAAAGAGACCATTTGGTCTCCAGTTGCACTTTTTGTGACTTTGTCGAGAATCCGCACACTGTGGGGCCTCTGCTCTCTTCCATGGCCCATGTCTACTCCTCTGCAAGTACCTTGCAGCCATGGTTGTTATGGCTTTGTGAGGTGTCTTCAAATTGGATTGTCCAATGCCTCCTGTTTTGTGTACTTTGCTCGAGGTTGATTCTGCTATCTGGGAGAGAGATGGTTTTCCATCTGCTGGTTCATCTTCAAAGATGTATGCAATAGCCAGGGCTGAGCCAGGTGTGAGCCAGGAGTCCAGAACTCTGTCAGGGTCTCACACACATGAGTGTCAGGGGCTCAAGTACTTGAGCCATTGTCTGCTGCCAGGATGCAGGAGGCTGGATCAGAAGCAGAGTAGCTGGAACCTGAGTACTAGATGTGGGCAGCTTAATTTACTGTGCCACAGTTCCCATCCTGGAGACTGTATCTTATCAAAACCTTTTATTGATCATAAGATTTTTTTTACTTTTTATTATTTTCATTTTATGATACAGTTCCGTAGACCCTGGGATTTCCCTCCCCAATTCTGCCTCCGCTCACTGAGTTCCCCTATATCATTACTATAGCATAGTTAACTATACACAGTCGTATGTCTATTGTTGTGAGCATGGACAAAGGCAGAGTCCAGCATCCTATTGTCAAGATATAGTAAACAGTTTCATTGGGAATCCATCTTTGTCTGGAAGTAGGGATGTGTACTGCATTGTATCCTCACATCTGGATATGACAGTCTAGATTAAACAGTTACTATATATCCCCTTAAACGAAAAGCCACAATACAAAATCAACAATAGGAAGAAAAATAGAAATTTACAGTGCCATGAAGTTAAATAACATGCTGCTAGATATGATAGTCTCCATTACACAGTTACTATACATCCCCTTAAATGAAAAGCCACAAAACAAAATCAACATCAGGAAGAAAAAAGAAATGAACAACACCATGAAGTTAAATAAAATGCTATTGATTGACTAATGTGTGGCTGAGGAAATGAAAATCAAGAACCTTCTTGAAGAGAATGGTTGCTACTGTATGATCTATGACTCATTGAAGAATTTAACCAGAATAAAGTATTTTGAAGAGATGAAACTAACAACAACAAAAATCAAAATCCATGAGATACAGTTTCCGCTGATATTTGTTGGTGAGATGTGTGTGTTCTAGGCAACAAATAGATGGGTTTTGTTTTTTAATGCAGTCTACTAATCTATGATGCTTGATTGATGAGTTTAAACCATTTACATTCAGGGTTAATACAAATAGGCGGTAATTTGTTTCTGCCATTTTAACAATGGGTTGTTCATTGATTTAGTCTTCTATTATTTTACTGGGATGTTCTTCGCATTTGCCTTTGATTTTAGTGGATGCTATTCCTTTTCTCTGTCAAGAGAAAATCTTTGAGTATCATTTGTAGGGCAGGTTTGGAAGAGGCATATTCTTTGAATTTCTCTTTATTGTGGAAGAATTTTATTTTCAAAGAGAAAGGGAAGCTTTGGAAAGCTTTGCTGGGTACGTTATCCTGGGCCAACAATTTTTTGCTTTTAGAATTTAGGATATGTCACCCCAGTGTCTTCTGAGTTTCCTGTGAGTTTAGTTGGCATTCCTTTGTATGTCGGTTGATTTTTTTTTTTCACGTGCACATTGCTGATGTTTGATTGAGGAGAGGCTGATTATCATGTGTCGTGAAAATCACTTTTGGTCAACCCTGTTGGGAGTTCTGTGCCCCTCCTGG